TCTCCACTTGTAAAACAATGAGGCAAGGCCCCTACCTCACACCGTATATAAAAATGAACTAAAATGGATCGAAGACCTAAATGTAAGAGCAAAACTTATAAAACTCTTCAAGGAAAACCACAAGAGGAAGTTTTCATAGCCTTGGACTAGGCAACAGTTTCTTAGATATGAAACCACAAGCACAAGCAGCAAAAAACAGATGAGTTGGACTCCATAAAAAATGTAAAATTTTTGTCCTTCAAATGATACTATCTAGACAGGGAAAAGACAATCCACAGACTAGGAGAAAATTTTAGCCAGTCATATCTGACAAAGGCCTTATACTCAGAATATATAAAGAACTCTTACACCTCAACAATAAAATGTCAAATAACCCAGTTTTAAAATGGGCAAAGGATTCGAATGACTTTTCTCCAGAGAAGATACACAAATAGCCAATGAACACATGACAAGATGCAAAACATTGTTACGATGCACAGCCTTCGGGGAAACAGAAACCAAACCACAATGAGATACCACTTCACACCCACTAGGATGCTATAGTCTTAAAGACAGATCATAACAAGTGTTGGCGAGGACGTGGAGAAATGGGAACACTTCTACACTGCAGGCAAGTATGTAAAATGGTGCAGCCACTTTGGAAAACAGTCTGGGAGTTCCTCAAAAAGTTAAACATGGCATTGCCACTGACCCTGCAATTCCACTCCAAGGGATATATCCAAGAGAAATAAAATTATGTCCACACAACAGCAATACTTATAATAGCCAAAATGTGGAAAGAACCCACAAATGTCCATCAACTGACAATGGATAAATAAATTGCGGTATATGCACACACTAGAATATTATTTGGCAGTAAAAAAATAAAACACTGATAAATGCTACATTGAAAACAGTCTGCTAAGTGAAAGAAGTCAGTCACAAAGGACCATATATTGTATGAGTCCATTTATAAGAAATGTCCAGACTAGGCAAATCCATACAGACAGAATATAGATTAGTTATTGCCTAGAGTGGACATGGGTGTGGGTAGGAAGGATCGAGAAGTTTCTGCTAATAGGTTTGAGGTTTCTTTTAGGGGTGATGACAATGTTCTAAATTTAACTGTGGTAATGGTTGCACAACTCAATGAATATACTAAAAACCTTTGAATAATACACTTTAAATGGGTAAATTGTATGGCATATAAATTATGTCTCAGTAAAGCTGTTATTAAAATAATTAGAGCTGTCCCCAAAATGGAAAACGATACCTCACTGGAAATAATGTTAAGCAAAGGCAAATGGCCTTTAGTTGGAAATATTACTGTAAAAGATGGATTCAATTAGTGGTTCCAATAGCAGTTCACAGACTAATACAAAAAAATCACCCAGGGAATTTAATGACTCTGGCTCCCTGAAACATCTAATTCGGTAAGTCCACTGGGGTCCAGGAATCTGTATTTTTAACAGGCTCCTTAAATTATTCTAATGTATAGCCAGAAGTAGGAACCACTAATAGCCCAATTCAAAGATATCATGATTCCCTGGTATCTCTGAGATACTTATCTCTAGATCTGGTATGGATCTAGTATTTTCCATTCATCCGAGAGCCTCAAAGTCCTTAAGGGCACTCATCTCCCTGAAATAAGGGTTTGAGTTTGGAAAAAAGGTGGCTTCATCTGCACCTTGTATATTTTTATTAATCTTATATATACTCTTTATTTAAGCTACTACGAATCTTTTTTTGGAAAGGAACAGATTTATATAAATTGAATAAATAAAAGATCACATATATTCTCACAAGAATTCTCTCAAAACTGTATTTCTCAAGTTGGGACACAATGGAAAGTCAATTTTTTTCTCAAATACTTATAATTTAATATTTTTATATTAAAAAATACAGGCATATTATAAAATCAAATGTAAAATTTTCATGAATTTTTAAGATAGAACCCAGAAACTTCAAGGAAATTCCATATTTGCCACAGGAACTACTTTGGGTTACACTCCCAGATTCTAAGGGGACATATTCATTCCATTCTGCAATTAATACTTCAGTGGAAAACCCAAGAAGTGTAGGCATTCTGTTTTCCATTCCATGGTGATGAAAAATGTAATCCCCATTCATTCACAACCTTATACAACATAGATTAATCAGATTACTAGTGACTGTGCTCTGTGCACTTCAAGAGGGAAAAAGTCTGAAATGAATCTAAGAACTAAACCATCACCTGTTAACAAATGAGTGAAAAGTCCTCAGAGGCATGCAGTATTCAGGAAAATGTCTGCTGAGGATCAGGCCTTCTAGTTTCCTAGCCTAGTGCTTTAGCCAGATGACAATGAACGTCAAGGACACCCTCAGGGGTGTGTGGACCTCACCCACCTAGTGGAGGGTCTACCCTGGGTGCTTATCTAGCCTTGCCCAGCCCTTGGGTCTGTGAAGAAGCACTAGGTGGCTGGCCTGTCTGAGACCTTAGATTTACTACAGCTAAAGAGAAGGTGTTCTCCTAGACCTGTAATCTTTCTTTTTTGACAAAGAGCTTTGATTTTTGGCTGTTTTTTTTCATATCATTTCTCAAAACATTTGTGATAACTTCACTCAGGGATAAAATATCAAAAGAGTGAAGTTATAGTTGACTCTGACACAGTTATATAAATCTAGGTCAATTTCCTCAATACTAAAATTAAAAAGTGGAATAAGATAAACCTCAAGGTCCTTTCTAGCTTTTAAACTCTACACTCTCACAATATTTATCAATATTGAAGATATGCCTTGCAAATTTCAAAGGCAATTCCAAAACAAGAAGTTGTAAACATTGTTTCTTATCCTTTCCATCCCAGTGTTCCCTCTTGCATCACCCGAGCTCAAAGCCCCATCTCTCCCCACTTGGATTTTTGCAACAGTCCTCAATTCTTTTTTTTTTATTTTTTTTTATTGTTAGTTTCAGGTGTACAGAACAATGCAATAGTTACCCTTTTCACCCTCACAAAGTAACAACCCCCCTCCCCCCATCCACTGCCCTCCCACCCCCAAATCATGCTTATCTATTACAATTCCATTGAATCCGTTCCCGCACTCTACTCCGTGTCCCGAGGTTATATGTATATATAATTATAGTTGACATACAGTATTATTCAACATCAGTTTCAGAAATACAATGCGGTGGTAAGGCCTCCACATCAACTATGAAGTGGACTCCCCAAAAGGGCATTGGTCCATCTGGCTCCCTAAGAAATGCTTACAACGTTATTGATTGTATTCCTCGGACTATCTTTTTCTATCCCTGAGGCCATATTACAATTCAAAATGGATTAAAGACTTAAATATAAGACCTGAGACCATAAAACTCATAGAAGAAAGTATAGGGTCTAAATTTGCAGACATCACCCGGAGCAATATTTTTACTGATACATCCCCACAGGCTACGGAAGTAAAAGAAAAAATGAACATATGGGACTACATCAAACTTAAAAGTTTTTTCACAACAAAAGAAACCATCAATAAAACAAAACGGAAGCCAACAGTCCTCAATTCTGATCCTCAATCTCCCCTTAATCCATTATATTGACCACACTGCTGGTAGATGATTCTCCAATTATCATCTCCTCCAGTGGCTCTTAACCTGGCATTAAAGGCACTCCATAATCATAATCCTTTCCCCATTTATCTTTCTAACCTTCACTAGCCCTTCGTTATATTAATTTACATTTCAGCAAACCTGTCAGTACTTCCTCCTACAATGAATTACACATATCGTAACTTCAAATTTGTTTATATCATTTCCCCTGCTTGAAATACTCTCTGAATTACTCCCCACTTTTGTTCTTTTCTTCAAGAATGAGTACAAGTCTCATCTGCACTACAAAGCCTTTTCTGACAACCTTCTTTAAATTCCTGGGGCACCTAGCCTGTAATACATCTTTGGCATTTAACAGATGCTGCCCTCGACTGGGCAGATTTAATACCCAAGAGGTCTGTAGGGAAACTTCTGCCCCATTTTCTCCAGGTAAGCCCCTCAGCTTCAATACGGGGTGAATATATAACACACAGCATCTAAAGGGGCTACACTTAAACTACATTTTTTTAAAAAAACAGCCGAAGTAACAGTTTATGTGTAATTATTATAATTTAGCAAACAAATCTACCCTACTCTTGCCAACCGTATTTTTACAGCTGTGTTCTAAAATTTAAGGTAATTCTCTAAGTTTGGATTAATACTTCCTATTTAATACTTCCCTTTTTAAAAAGGGAGGGAGGCGAGATTTCAAAATAAGTCATCAAAACTTTAATGAGATAACAAAATTCCAAAAAACAAAGCCATGAACATACTTTTAGACAACAATAAAACTGCTTATTTTACAGGCATCATAGCAAAATCGAACTTGGGAAGGGATAGAAAGAGACATTTTGTCTGGTCAGACTCTTTAAATGAAATGGCACATGTTTTTCTCCTGCAGCCATGCAAAACACACAATTTTTATATAAACCGCATGTATACTCTGACAATACTGCCACCCCTTTCCCTGTCTTAATTCCAGAGACAATTTAATTCACCTGCAATGTTTTTGGTCTTGCTTAATAAAGAACACTTAATCTGGTCTTTACCCTTCTGATAAAAATACTGAGATAATACAGATACAAGTCCAAATTTGCCACTTTCACTTATACACAAATAAGGCGTCTGGAAGAGCCAAGAAACACTCCACTAACAAGCCCTGTGATGAAGTGTTAGTAAACATTAGAAAATTGATTGCAGGCATGAAATAATAAGTTAAGACAAAGGAAATATTTTCAACATGTCTCCTTAAGCTGAAGTAAAAATATTTTAACCAATATGCTAGAGACTTTCATTAATTCAAAACAGTCTGAAAGTAAAACTGCAATGGAAAAAAAATCTCTTACTGAAACTATTTTAATATTTGAAACTATTTGAAAGAGTTGTACTTATTTCACAGGAAAAGCTAATTTATTTTCTTTCAACAAACAAAGAGCATGGAAATGAGCCTGAAGTTACTCACGTGCAGAGCGGAGGGGTCTGGCAGAAATTCAGCATCTTCTCCAAAGATAAAATCGGGGGGCAGCTCTGGGTATTGGGCATTGAAAATGATATCCCCTGAAACACAAGAACATGGCAGGCCCTTCTCAGTTCCTTGCTAATACATGCATGTTCTGAGCAATGCATCAGAAACATTTCTAATGGAAGTTGGTAAAAATTTGAAAAGCACTTTCTGAATGATTAATTCTTCAAACAAAAGAACTGATATCCTTCCTCTTTTAAATTAACATCCACAACATGCAGTCAAAAAAGTTAATCTCTTAACACACTACAAATATAAATACCCAAGCATAAAAGTATAACCGCAATGTACAAAATACATGCAGATATTTTTTATAGGAAGTATTACTCTCCAATCCCTGCCTGCTAATTAATAGGCCTTTACTGAGCACTGATTCTCTCAAGTCCTTGCCGTCAAGAAATTAACCATACAAACCTTTGGTAAAATGGAAAGAACATCTGGCTTGAGGTAAAAAAGTCAGGTTTGTATCCATAAGGTTTCCTAATTATTTACTAGCGCAAGTCATCTTGAGCAAGTTTTAACTTCTTTAGGCTTCAGTTTCCTCATCAGTAAAAGGGTGGATATAATATTACTAACATCACGGATTTGCTGTGAGGATAAAAAGAGACCACGTGCCTAAATGGTGTCTGGTATACAGCACGCACTCAGTAAGTGACACAGGAATACTACTGCTATTATCACTAGCATTATTTTGAAACATGAGACAAATTACAAGGCCTTCCTTAGCAAATGTGTGTTGTATGTTCTTCGGCTTCCCTGTTCCTTTCCTGTCTCCTTCCTTAGCGCCCTTTCTTTCCACTGCTCACCCCAAGAATTGGTCCTCATCATTCTGTTAATACCAACAAGCAGATTCGTACACCGATAAGCACACATACTGGATTCTAGTGCCTAAGGGTGTATATACTTGTGTACACGCACACAACCACTCCACCCATGCACACACATCCAGTTGTATCAGTCCCATCATTTTTACTGCTCAAATAATAATATCTTCATGATGATACTCAAATTTAAACATTCAGACTTCAGTTCTTGTTTGAACCTTTGTATCTCTAACTATGTACTGTGTATTTCAATGTCAAACTCGACAAGATGGGTCACGTTCAGGGCGGTAGTTCCTGGCTGGTCCTTTTCTCAGTCCTCTCTTCCCCTGGCTGACTTCCCCTTGTTTCTAGGGACGGAACAGCTGTTCCTTAAGCACAGCTGATGCTTAAACTGCAGTATCATCTCCAACCTTATCCTCACCCTTTATATTCACAGAAAACAAGTCATCTCAGCTTTTCCTCCAAAATGTTTCTCATGTGGTTACTTCCTACTGCTAACAGCTCTGCCGAGGCCCAGGTGGCCTAGTCCATACAGTCACACATCCAGTGACAAACATTGGAACTCTGCTGTCAGCACATGCTAGGGACTACAGATCAAACAAAGAACGCTGCTCCTGAAGAGCTGGCAAGACTAGACGAATTCAATTATTACCATACCCTCTTAAATGGTCTCCTGATACCAGTTTCCCTCCAGCCACAATACATACTATCATAAAGTAAGTCTTCTTAAAGTACTTCCTTACCTCCAAACTTCCTAGCTCAAAAAACTTCAATAATTCTCTAATGTCAAATGGAGTAAGACCAAACTTTTCAAACTGGCATTTCAGGCCTCCAAAATATGATGTTTCCTATTTATGTATCCACCCATCCCTCTCTCTGCAAGCCAATACCAATCTTTTATTCCAGTCAATACAATCTGCTCACTGACCTGCAAATACTATGACACACAGTTGAAATGCGCTTTCCCCTTGCTCAGTTCTTACCCATCCTTTACGAGCACACTTAATTACCATCTCTTGCATGAAGACTTCCCTAATAAATCCAGTACACACTGATCATTGTTACCTCTGAAATTCAACAATAATGATGTCTTATGCCATTCACTTGAGTATTGAATTGTGGTCTTATACTGTTTTTATTGCTCCATTAATTTTTAAAATTCATAATAAACACATGTTACATGTGAGTCACTGTGTCAATAGTACAAAGATGGTTATCCTCAAGGAGCTTACATTTCATGAGACAAGACATATACACAGAACCAAAAACACACAGCAGTACAAGGTAAGTACATATACTTGATCTTCCTAAATATCTTGTAAGTATTCAGAGAATAAACATGCTCTTACATTTATTACATGTCTCCAACAAGGCAAAATATAACACACAGAATAGAGTCAAGAAATGCTCAATACATAAAAGAAATTCTACTACTCTCTAAATTGAATATCTAAGAACTAACAAAATCCACAGTAAAGAATAAAGTATAGAAGTGTTACTATGTCTGCCACTTTCTGTAGGGAATAAATGTGAGCAAGAAAATATACCCTTCAGAAGCTGGGTACAGAATTAAATTATCAAAAGTAGTGTAATCACTCCCTTTCCTTCACCCTACCCACTATCATTATCTCTGGTTTTCAACTGTATCTATTTCAAGTTATAAAATTTCTTCAAATCTGCCAACCATAAAACATTAATCCAAGCCAAGACTAAGAAGTACTAGTAGAGACAATATAAATGTACTTATTACTCATTTTTATTCAACTATACCCAGCACACACAATTCCTTAGAAGGACATGTACATTAGAGGTATATTTTTTAAAGTCCTACAGTTAGCTTACTTTGGTGACTTTTAAAGAAAAAGAAAAGTCATAAAGTTAATAGAGCAAAGGCATTAAAGTTTTGGAAAAAACCAAGCTAGAATCTATTGTGCCTTGATACTCAAAAAATAAATAGCAAGCTAAATTCCAATAGAAGAAATTTTATTATTTTTGTTACTACTGAAGACACAAAGCTGGATTTTCAAGTTCTCAAAGGATCACTGTCAGTTATACATATTTCCAAACCACTAAACATTAAAAATATGATCCAAGATATTCACTCTTGCCAATTCAATTAAACACTGTACTGGAGGATTTAGTCAGAGTACTCAGGCAAGAAAAAGAAATGAATGGCACCTAGATAGACACAGAATCAAAAAAAAGAAACAAACCTGTGAGAATGAATAAGTTCAGGAAAGTTGCAAGATACAAGAAAGTGTATAAAATCAATTACATTTCTATACACTACCAATGAACAATCCAAAAATGAAATTAAGAAAAAAATTCCATTTATAACAGCATCGATAAGAATAAAATACTTAGGAATAAACTTAACAAAAAAAATGTAAGACTTGTACACTGAAAACTACAAAACTGCTGAAACACATTAAACAAGGCCTACATAAATGGGAAGACATCCCATGTTTGTGGATCAGAAGACTTAATACTGTTAAGATGGCAATACTGCCTAAATTATAATAATCTACAGATGTCATGCAACCCCTATCAAAATCCCTGCTTGACTTTTTCTGCAGAAATTGACAAGCCAATCCTAAAAGTCATATGGAAATGCAAGGGATCCCTAATGTCCAAAAAGCAATCTTGAAAATACAAAGTTGGAGGACTCACACTTCCCAATTTCAAAACTTATTCCAAAGCCACAGTAAATCAAGACAATGTGGTACTGGCATAAGGAGAGACATACTGATCAATGGAATAGAATTCAGAGTCTGGAAATAAACTCTTACACTTATAGTCAATTGATTTTGGACAAGGGTGCCAAGACAATTCGATGGGGCAAAAAGCATCTTTTCACTACCTCACACCCATTAGGATGACTATTATTTTAAAGAGGAAGTGGGGAAGATTGAGAGAGGGAGAGAGAGGAGAGAAGAGAGAGGAGAGGAGAAGAGAAGAGAGAAAATTAATATAATGAGTGTTAGCAAGGTTGTGGAGAAATTGGATCCCCTGTGCACCACTGGTCGTAATGTATAATGGTACAGCCACTATGGAAAACAATATGGTGGTGCCTCAAAATTATTAAAATATAATTCAGGGCCGGCTGAGTGGCATGTTGGTTAGGAGTTGGCTGGGGACGCCAACTCTGAGCAGCAGGGCCCTGGTTCGGATCCCACATGAGGGCCAGTGATGCTGCGCCCTCTACAGCTAAGATGGTGAACAACAGCTTGACCTGGAGCTGGGCTGCCGTGAGTCGCCGGCGACGGCATAGGCTGCAGTGGGGCTGGCCAACAGCAGGCATGAGCTTTCGTGAGCTGTCTGTCGTGATCCGCCATGAGTGGCCATCCAATGGCCGGTGAGTGACCGCCTCACCCGGGAAGAGCGCAATGATGGTGCCAACATGGGCCAGTTAAGCGACATCCTCCATAACTAGACTGAAGAACAAAAGGACAACAACTTGTCTGTTCCCCTTCCCTGATTCCCCAACACTGTTCCCTCCCCAATTCCCCAATAAAATCTTTAAAAAAAATATATATATATATATATATGTATGTATGTATGTATGTATGTATATATAGTTCAACAATTCCACTCTCAGTATATACTCAAAAAAAGTGAACTCAATGTTTCAAGAGTATTTGTGCACCCACATTCACAGCAACGTCATTCACAAAAGCCTATTGGAAGCAACCCAAGCGTTCACCGACAGCTAAACAGAGAAACAAAATGTGGTATACACATGCAATAGAATATTATTCAGCCAAAAAAAAGGGCATTCTGACACATTCTATAATATGAATGAGCCTTGAGAACATTATGGTGAGATAAGCCACTGCAAAAAGACAAATACTGTGTGATTCTGCTTATATGAGATACCTAGAATAGTAGAATTCATAGAGACAGGAAGAAGAATGGTGGTTGGCAAGGGCCAGTGGGAGGAGAGACTGGGGAGTTGTTTAATGGGTCTAGAATTTCAGTTTTGCAAGATGAAAAGAATAATAGAGATTGGTTGCAGAACAATGTGAATGCACTTAACATTACTGAAATGTACACTTAAAAATTATTAAGACAGTAAATTTTGTTACGTATATTTTGCCACAATTAAAAAAATTTAACATAAAAGTCATCTATAGACAGTCTGTGTCCACTTAAAATTCATATGTTGGAATCCTAATCCCCAGTGTGACAGTATTTGGAGGTGGGGCCTTGGG